GACATCGCCGGCTAGTTCTCTTTAATTTGTGTTAACTTGAGATGTTTGCAAGAATAATTTCCAGCTCTAATGATGTTCATCCTGTGACGAAGCGAAGGAAGATGTCTCATGAACTGTGTAAAACTGGAAACAACCATCGTCTTTTGATGAGATCGACTTATGCATCTCTTCATCGTACACTTTCACAAGATGTGCATACGTCCATTATAGTGTCATCTCAGAAGATTCATCGAAGCCTACATTATCTGCATATATACAATTTTCCAACCCGAAGCTCTACTGCTAGAACCACTCGTAATTCTCGCGGATTTTCATCTTTCTCCTGCTTGAGCCGACCTCCGACTTGGCCTGGCTTACCGTCCAGCAGGATCGGTCACCTCCGCGACAATAGTCCCGGGCTTGTGTTGCGGGCCCAGGTAGCCCCCCGGCCCAGCGACTCCGGCACCCAGGCCGGGCAACAGACGACCCGAGCCAGCCGCCTGTGCTGGTGTAGCCAGGCCGGAGGGAACTAGCCCGCCGGGCCCTCCCTGTCGCCAGGCGCCGGAGTTCCATCTTCCCGTGCTAGCCCCAGCTTCCAGGTCGGCGGCGTGACCATCCGCCGCAAACCCGCCGACGCCATGCCTCAGGCGCGGGGAGTACTGCGAGGCGGGTGACAACGATGCAGAGTTGGTGGCAAAGTTGGTCGCCTGAGGATCATTGGTACCGGGATTCTGGAGATACGCCACTGCACTAGCCCCATAGGCTAGGGAAGTCTCGTTGAGTGAATGTTGTCTGCAAAGTTAAAGCTATGTAACCAAATGCCCGGCTAATGGAAGATAATACAAATGCGTGCAATAGTCGCCAAAACAGTCTATATTTTGCGTGGGATTATACACCTTCTCGCATAAATAACGCTTGAACTTGAATATATCACTTTTAGGTGGCTGTGGATTCGCTAAGGAAATGCGCTATTTCAGATTTTTTTAAATATGATTTCATTAAATAATACCCTCTTGGATCGTAGATATGAAGACCGAGATGGTGTGGTTTTGATTTTGTCGCAGTCTCCTTCAGCTGTATAGCGTTAGTCTGATCTTGTTTTCCTAGCTTTGCCAGAGCAATAGGAAAGTTTTGTGCATCCGCTGTCATAGAAGTTATGACCAACTCCAATATTGGACCGTTGACTTGGTACATTCCCAGGCGTCGGCATCATCAGCGGAAGGCGCCATCATGAGCACTTTGATAATTCGTGACACAAACTTCCTTTACTATGAAAAAATTGTTTGGAAGGAATCCATGATCTGATATCACTGTAAACCGAAGGAGGATTGCTGAGTAGAGGAGAGTGCTGTAATGTGAGGAGAAATCGTCGGCTCACCGTTCTGGAACCTCGATGAACCCATGCTAAGTTTTCGAGTGTATGGTGATGATCATCATCGGAGCAAGAATGCATACTTTACGGAATAGAGCAAAAATGTAATAAACCAAGAGAAAAGGTAGCTGGCTGCAACCCTAGGTGCTTTTTGTACACATAACTTTGTGATCTTAATCAGGCATCCCATAATTTGGTTGGTTACCTCAAACTTAATCCATATAATATGAGATGTATTCACCCTGCTTCGTTTAGGGTGATGAAGGACTGGGAGTAAAATTTTTCCCACAATGATATGAATATAGTTGACGTTTCCATTAAATTTCACATAGCCTTGCTTTCACAAATGTTGTTCTCATCCCACTCATATCATTTTAGGAAAATTCTACTACCAGTCTTTCATCACCCTAAAGTAAATAGGGAGAATACATCTCATATTACTTATTTACTGGTAGTCTCGAAACTCTTCTTACACACAAAAAATTACTCCATATAGTCGGCAAGACGTTCGTTACGTATGAAAGTGCATGAAGAATAGATTCTTATGTTGATATCACCAGAAGACGACAGCTAAATGCCGCGGTACTGCAACCATTTGGCTTTGATACGACATTCAGTTTGGCTCAGTCCACGAGACATCCTCTCTCACTTCGGGCGAAAATTGGCAGTAGCTTTCGTTCATCATATGATGGACATCATCATAGCTGAAACTCATCTTTGTAAAACTTTTACGTTAACACTCGGTCAAGAAGACTACCCAGCTCTATCTTACCTCCTATAAATACGCATAGTTAAAAATGAAAATTAATAGGCATTGGTTGATATAGGCTGGTTCGGCTTATTATCTTTCATATTGGTCCTGTAACTGTGGCGGAAGTGTGTGTATGTGCTTTAATGCCTATACGCAATACATTTGATCTCTCAGCTTTAGAACCGGTATTGCATATAGACGTTAGCGCACACACGCACATACACGCAAACCCAAGCAAAAGTAGCTGGACCAATAGGAGAGATGGTTAGCCAAACTGTTCTAAGTCCATCTATGCCTATACATTTTTTTTCAGGTTATGAAATATACAAAAGGCAAAATAGAGCCTGATCATCTTCTTGACCGAGTGTTAACGTGAGACTTTAACAAGAATGAGTTACAGCTCTGATGATGTCCATTATATGATGGACGAAATCCAGGCCCGTTTTTACTCGAAGCGACGGAGAATGTCTCGTGGATTGCGTCAACCTGAACATTGTATTAAAGCCAATTGGTTGCACTACAGCGGGATTTAGCCATCGTCTTCTGGTAAGATCAAACTATGAATCTCTTCTTAGTGCACTTTCATACTAAATGAAGGTTTCCATGACTATATTATTTAGGAGACCCTTAAAAAACACAGTTATTCTTTAATCTACATACTTGCAGATAAGTGAAATCACTTCTCGAACCAGAAGTGCATTAGGTGGTAGCCATTTCCTTAAACAAATCAGCTAATGTACGATCCTCTAATGGTAAATCATGTTTGGTCCTGTGCTATTGTCTATTGTGTGTACGCAATGTTCATGTTATCGGTAGTATGATAGTCCTAGCTAGGCACTATCACTGGCTCATCCTGCACCCCTTCTCTCTCCCTTCCTTTAGGTCTATCCAACAGCTACAAATAGTTCCTACTTAGTTTTCTACCCTCGTTCCTCCTATTCAGGACGTTGGCTGTTTTGTTATTTTTTATAGACTCCCTAATCTTACCCTTTGATGTGAATTCCCCGTAACCCGCAAAACGTTGTGTTTTCCATCAGTCTATTGCGTGCCTTGTATTGGCGAAATATGTTCAGCAAGATCAGACTTTTGGACCCACATACTCTTACAAGAGGTTTTGCGTTCGCATAGTCTCTTCTGAATGGGTCGGCAGGTCTCTCCCTACCCAAAATTCACAAGAAAGTTGACCCATTTAGGGTTATTGTAACTAATATAGGAAACTGTGATGCATAAAACACCACGATTCACATGTACTCAATTGAAGCAATCTCCGGAACTTGAACGTTTTCGATAGAAAACTCTTTCGACTCTATAAAGTTAGTTGATGATGAGACGATAGAAAGTGGAGATTGGCTGGCAAGTTTCGATGTAGTGTCTGTGTACATTAAAATTCCGATAAAAGAGGCAATGAAGGCGTTAGAATTAACTCTAGATCAACACCCTGAAATTATAGCTGGTAAAATGGTAATCTAATTTTCAATAATTAGGGTATTCAATTTGACAATATATAATACATATTTTAGCTTCAAAGGTAAGTTGTATCAGCAGACACGGGATTTGGCTATGGAATCTTGCTTAACCCATATTTTAGCTAATAACTGTATGGCCTTATTAGAAGTTCATGTGCTTCAAGAGATACTCCTAGTACCTAAGTTATTAGCTCGTTATATGGACGATTACTTTGTGGCTTGGCAACACGGAGAAGATAGTAGTTGCTTGACCTTGTTTTCGCAACTTAGTCAAATTGACAGAAGACCTAAAGGAGACAGCTTGTCCTGCGTCAATAGTATGCATGCCAATGTCAAAGTCAGACCAAGGACTTAGTACATTCGGAGACTTTTGCCGACCCACTATGATCAAGTTGTGAAACCAAGGCCAAACAACTACTATCAGATGAGAGGAGGCCACGACCATATATATAAGGTCACACTATCTTGGTTTCATACTTTTGACTAAACGGCAAACATAGTTTGGGTAAATTCCTTGAGCCAATAAAAGCAATAGGTGCTAATTCTAAGTTTAGTATGGAGGTGGAAAAAGACAATAAACTGACTTTTTTTATGTATCAGTGAGCAAATAAGGTACTATGTTATATAGAGACATACATATGAAATCCATACAAGCAGGTTTCCCTATCAATTTCGTTTTCAACCACAAGTATGCGTTGAAGTAGGAGTTATGTAATCAATAATAATGTGGAGTCTGCGCCTGTAAGACGTAAGCCATAGGCACACGAGATCGGTAGAGTAAAGCAAACATTGTTTAGAAACAATTAACCATTATTTTTAGTAGAAAATTACATTTTAACTGTCAGTAACAAGATGAGTGGAGATGGCTATCTGGGACGGGATAAACAATTGGATTAGTCTACTCGGTTGCTGAATTTGCCTTCCTGTCAGTTTGCGAAAAAGTTGAATGATATACTAAAGAAGTGGAAAATCACAACGACGTATTAAAAGCAATTAACACTTGCTTCATTAGTTCCTAGGTTTAGAGAATTCTTGGACCCTTTATCTAGAACAGGCTGCTACAAGGTTTTGTGCTCATTTGACAATGTCTATGTGGGACATACCTGCCGAGCCATTCAGAAGAGACTATGCGAACACAAAACAGTTCATAAAGGTATATGGGTCCAAAATTCTGAGCTCGCTGAACGCATGGCCAACACACGACACACAATAGACTAGTACCAAACACAACGTTTTGCTGATTATCGGGACTTCACATCAAAGTGTAAGATTAGGGAATCTATAGAAATTAACAAAACAGCCAACAATCTGAATAGGAGGAATGAGTAGGAACTATTGATGGTTGTTGAATAGGCCTAAGAAGGTGAGAGCAGGAAGAGCCAATATGGAAGAGAATGAGGATGGATTAGCCTTGAGTCTAGCTAGGGCTATCACACCTCTCATGACATGAAAGTTGCATACTCACAATAGATGAGAATACAAGACCAAAAATGAGTCCACATTTGAAGATTGTATTCTAGTTTCTTTGTTTGTATAAGGAAATAGCTGAAACAGAGTGCCTTTTCGGTTCTTGAAGTAACATCACTTATCTGCAATCATGTAGCCTAAGTTTGGGGTAGCCAACTAAGTCATGGGATTCCTCATTAATATCACAATGGTATGTGTGTAAAGAAGCGACTATGGTTGTATTAGGCCATCTTTTCTCCTGGTATAGTATATTTTTGCTCTATTCCTTAATGTATGGATCCCTACTCTGAGTATGTATGCCACAGTACAGACAAAAGATTAGCATAAGTTCTTCGGAGTTGCAAGACGGTGAGCCGAGGCCTTCTTCTTTGTACAATACAACAGTCCTACAAGCATGGAAATCGTCCTTCGGTTTCCTAGTGAGAACACATCACGAATTTCTTCCAACCAACTTTTCCTTCGAAAGGGAAATTCATGTCACAATATATCAATAAGGCATTCTTCGAAACTCAGTTTTTCTTTATATTTAAAATGTTTTTTATTTCTTTTCTTAAACATTATTTAAATTTGAATGGACATTTGAGACCATATTTCTTTTAA